AACCAAAATATCTAAAAATTATAGATTTTTAATACGTTTTGTCAAATTATTATAATATTTTTAAATTGTATTTCAATTTTATTACTTTTTATAACAATCATTAAAACACAGTGTATGAAATTATTGTTTGAAAAAATTTATACTTATTTTTCAGTGATGCATAACACATATTTGCTTATTTCTAGGGGCTTTGGTTATGACTCGACTACTAATACGTGGATCTGTGACCAAATCGATTGCCATAAGACATTAAAAAGTTTCCGAGTCTTAAAAATGCATTTGTTTGTTGTCCACAAGAGTCGGGACACTGTCTGCGAATATCCCGATTGCGGCAAAAAGTTCAAACTTTTGTCAGCAATGCGAAAGCATTACCGCATTATCCACACCGACGACAAGCCATTCGCGTGTCCGCACGAAGAGTGCGGACAACGGTTTATAGATAAACACGATTTGAAGTCACATTTGGTTTGCCACGAAACTGATCGCCGATTTGCCTGCGATTTCATTGGCTGTCAAAAGGTTTATATCAATCAAAGCACTCTTGAAACTCACAAACGGATCCATTTGAATAAACCGACCATTAAGTGCACTGTCGAGGGATGCGCTCAAAGGTTTAATTCATACAATGAGGTGGAGAAACACCGGGCGAGTGTCCACTCTATGCCCCGAAAGGTCTCAACGCGTGTACGGGTGGCGTGTCTTTGGCCGGGCTGTGACTTTACGGGTGTTAGTTATAGACTTAAACTGCATCAAAACACACACACGGGTGAGCGGCCGTATGTCTGCGATTGGCCCGAATGTGGCAAACGGTTCCCTCGACCCGACCATTTGAAAGAGCATAAGAATGTGCACAACAATGTCAAGCCCTACGCCTGTCATTGGCCCGGATGTCAGTACCGGTGCTCTTACCGCTCTAGTATAACCATACATTATAGACAAGTACACAAAAAGTGATCACATATTTTCATAATTATTATAAATTTAATATACCGTAATTGTTATTCACTATTTTATTAGCGATTTGTTCACATTATTAATTAAACAAATAATATTTACCACGTATTGTGTTTGACTCGCATTTATTTCCAACAATTTTATTAATAGATTTACAATTAAGAAAATTAAACGACAAAAACGTTTGTCGGCAGAGAAAATGTTAGATCAAAATATTTGTCAAATAAATTATTAAATTTTGTTCATTAAAAGGCAATTAAAAAATTAATTTATAAATTACTATATAATAAATATTAACAACAAATATAGTTATAATTTGGTATCGATTAGCGAAATACTAGTGTCAGTCAACCATTGCCGCCGCGGATCAGCTAAACATAACTCTTGAGGAGTTTCTCTTTGTCGGCGGCGACGGCGCCGTCACTATCGGCGGCCGAGACGTGAGACTCTTCGTGGGAGCGCTTCATCTCGAGCTGTTTGATGCGGGTATAGGCGGCCGAACCCAAGAGCACCAGTAGGTTAGAGAACCACCACATCGGCGACTTGTGCTCGTCATACCATACGGTGGCCAACACTGTCTGCGCGCACGCTTTGGCCGTACCGGAGATATTATGGGTGAGCGGTGACGTCACTTTGATCTGCAGGCCAGTGACGTAGCCGATGGCGAAGCCGAAAGCGCCGCCCAATATCATCAGATTCCAGAAGGTTATGTCGCCGAGACGTGAGTAGTTCCACACCTCAGACACTTCGCCGGTCACTATCATTAGGGGCGCGAAGAGCAGCACAGCGTTGGCGTTGTTGTAAAACGTCAACAGCCATACGCTGTGGCCGACGGCCGGCAACACATCCTTCGTGAATATGCTGTTCAACGAGACAAACAGTGAGGCCAACACACCGTAGCCGACGCCCCACCACGACAGCGAACCGGCGGCTCCCTCTTGATCCACGCCCAGGAAGAAGCCCAGAATGATGGTCAGACAGCAGGCGATGGCCGGCCCGGATGTCCGCTGCCTGAGTATGGCGTACGTCAAGAGTACGTTGAATACAGTGGTCAGCGAACGGCCCACGAAGTAAAAGGCGACGCCCACGTGCTTTAGGCACAGGTTGTTAAATGTGATCATCGATACAAACATCACCGACAGTGGAAGCACTGCTCGCGCGGTCGACAACTTGAAGCTCAGCGGCGGTGCGGAGAAGAGCCGCGGATTGACCGCCGATAGCATCGACAGCACACCAGTGATGGTGAGAGCGCACAGACACTGGAAGAATGTGACGAATAGCGGGGCGTTTAGGTGGACGTCACCCGACGAGAGCAGGTGTTTGTTGAGGAATACCATCGCAATCGATACGAACCAATACAGTGTCACCACTATTACCACTTC